AGGAAGGTTCAGCTCTGCTTTTAGATTAGCAAGAAAGCAAGAAATCCAACGATTTCCTGTTTTCTAGCTAATCTAAATCCCCCAGCACAGCGGCACAGGAAAAATAGCAACTTACGCAGGCGAGTTTGATGGCGCGCATGCCAGGTAAGGAGTGAGTGGGCGGGGCAGGTCCAGCTAGTGGCGTGATTTGCCGGTTCTCTGAATTGCGCAGAATTGTAACAACTAGTTCTATAGAACTGTCCGACCAGGTAGAATCCCACCCCTGCTTTGAACGATCACTAAATGAAGTGTTGTGAGTCAAGGACTAGCTGCGGTTGGAAGCCAGACAGTGGGGAGGAAGACACAGTTATGTCACAGTTTAAAGTGAGCGTAGAAGACGTGCTGAAAACATTTATTTGGGTTTTCAACCGGGAAGACACAGACCACTGAATCTGGTTAGGCTCATGCCAGTGCTAAAAAGAAGACAGATGAAAATGTCAAAAGCAATTAAGGAAGGGATTTCTTTGCAAGCAAATCCCCAGAGGAATTTTCTCGCTGCTTTATTAGTTTGAACATATATGAAATAATTCCCCACCCCTCCGGTTCGCAATGCTCCGTATGGTACTGTAAATATGCCTCTCCTATTTTTTTTTCTTTTGTTAACCCTCGACTGACGACCTCAAGGGAGCCCAACATTTTTGTTGCTAAACAAGACATTTGTTAAAGTGAGGTCGGCCTCATTTTACAACTTTCCTTGCCACAGTTGCTAAGTGAATCAGTGTGGTGGTTCAGTTAGTAACCAACCCAGTTGTTTAAGTGAATCTTAGCTTCCCTGTTGACTTCGCTGGTTAGAAGGTCGCAAAAGGGGATCCAGTGCAACCGTCATAAATACAAACCAAGCGTCTGAATTTTGATCAACGTGACCCGTGGGGAATGCCACGACGGTCCTAAGCATGGAAAACGGGTCGTAAGTCACTTTTTTTTCTCCTTGCCTCAGTTGTGAAGTGAATCATTAAAGTCAGTAACACAGTTTTGAACGGTCACTAAAGGACCTGTTGTAAGTCGAGGAACACCTGTACTGCAGACCGGGAAGAATGGAGAGGACAAGCTAGGCTCCTTTGAAAGAAACAGAGGGACTTGCACTCCCAGAATTGCAAGATCCTTTCTCTAAATATCACTTTTCTTAAACTCCCTCTTGCATGACTGATTCAAGAGGACGACTTCCAAGGTTAAGAGGTCTTAAAACTGAGGCGGCACAGCAACAAGTGCCAGGAATCCTAAAATTCAGGAGTTAAGAGAGGATTTATGAGTTAAGAGAGGATTTATGATTTAGGTGTGAAAATGCATGTGGTTGTTTTTTTCTTTTTTCTTCAGGGGTACCAAACACCTGATATGCCTCTCTGGCAATAGCTCCATTCAGGAGAGATTTGCACACGCGTGAACACGGGACGCCGTATAATCTGATTTGTAATGGGCACTAATGAATGTTAATCTCAGTGGGAAGATTTGGGGGTGGGGGCTTAATACAAACTGGAGGAATGAAAAAGGCTCTTGCTGGACTGAAGTCCAAACCAGGGCGACCAACTTCTATCGTCTCTTGTTTCTCCTGCTTATTTATTTATTTTTAAATAGAATTGAAACCAGCAATTCTGATTTAGCATCTCTGGAGATTGCTAATTAATTTCTATGTCAAAACTGTTGTTAACCAGGCACAGACAGTCCTCGACTTACAACACCTCGCTTAGTGACTGTTCAAAGTTACAATGGCGCTGAAAAAAAAGGGACTTAGGACCCTTTTTCATAGTTACAACATTTCCAAGCATCTCCATGGTCACTTGAGCAAAATTCGGACGCTTGGTAACTGACTCATATTTATGACGGTTGCAGTGTCCCAGGGTCACGGGATTCCCTTTCGAGACGTTCTGAAAAGCAACCTCCACGGGGAAGCCAGATTCACCTAACAACCGGGTTACGGAGTTAATAACCGGAGCGATTCACATCAACTGTGGCAAGGAAGGCCGTAAAATGGGGCAAAACTCACTTAACAACAGTCTCGCTTAACAACAGGAACGTTGGGCCCAATTGTGGTTGTAAGTCGAGATGTACCTCCTGCACTGCCATAAAGTTGGTTTGCTTTTCCTAAAAGTCAGGCAGCTTTCGAATTGGCTAGGTTAGGTTACCATGGTTGTGTTTTGGCTGGCATAGACGTTATTATTTAGCACAAGGGTCTTTCAAACTTGGCAAGTTTAAGACTTGTGGACTTCAACTCTCAGAATTCCTGAGCTAACATAATTGTAGGAGGAATTCTGGGAGTTGAAGTCCACAAGTCTTAAAGCTGTCAAGTTTGAAAGACCCCTGATTTAGCACATGTTCAAACAATACAGGATAGACTAAAATAAGATTGGGGATTTTGGCTTACTCTCTATGCTTAACTCAGATATTATGTATAATGAATTATTAAGGAAAAGCCTCACGTTGTGGCATATCCATCTTGCAACGGCAATCGGACAAAGGATGGGTCCACGATGAATCGGCTCCAAAGGATGGCACGGCTGGGCATTCACCAAGGTCCTATAACTAACAAAAACACCCCAGATTTTAAGAGTGCGACCTTTCATACAGGATGTCAAAATCAGATGCTAATGGAAGAAGGATTGTCAGACAAACAGGCAGACGTAAAGGGCAACTTGGAGAGGGGTTGCAATTTGAGGGGTCCTTGGTGCTCTCTAAGCTTGATTTCTTGCAGATGTTTATGACCCAGTTAGATTACATCATCAGTGCTAGAAGGGAGAGGGGTTTGCTGCAGATGCCCCTTCCAGCACTTAGGATGTTACCTAGATGAAACGTCTGCAAGAAAATATCCAAAATCAGAGAACACCATGGAACTCCTCATTTCAACCCTGAGCTACAAATATTGTCCGTTATTGGGTTACATTTTTTTTAGAAAAAAAAAAAACTTGAATTGGGTTTGCACAGGCAAAGGGCGAGAGCCGGTAAAAACACATTCTATTTTTGCTCTCTGTTTTATCTTTTTAAACCAGCTGCAAAGTCAGACAGATAAAACAGGAGCAAGATTTAATTCTGCTTTAAAAATTGGCAGGCTTTTAAAGTTTATTCTTCCACAAAGCCACCACGGAACACAGGAGGACCAAAGCATTTTGAGAACTGCTTTGTTATACAGATTAAAATTGAATCCTTAAAAGTTGATAGCCCAGTTATTTCTTGCCCAACCCTGATACCAATAAAATAACTTCGTTTGTTTGCTTTTTAACAAACTGATTTCTCATTTCCAGGGATTCAAAATCCTGCAAAATTGAGCAACCCCTGACGTAAGGTCAGCTTGGAGCCTGGAGCATTCATTTCCGCTGCAGTTTTTTTATCTTTGCACGGAAAAAATTTGGCATTTCTCTTTGGCAACAACATACTTCCCTTTTGACACTGGTTTTCCTAAGTTGTCCTGACTGGGCCCTTTGTGGGAGGAACACCCACCACCCCATTCAAAAATAAAATAAAATAAAATAGAAGGTCCATTCTCTCTTCTTCCCAGCGAAAGGGAGACGTCAGTGCCGCACCTTTGACAAAAGTGTGTGTTGTTGGTTGGGCTTCCTGGCTGGTTTTCACTGGGAAGCTGCTGGCACCCTTCCCGTATATTTCACGGCTGATCGAATATGAGCCCTTTTGCCTGGCAACTCTGGAAAAGCATCTGTAATCTCTTTCTCAAATCAAGACCCACGGGCCTGGCAAGTGATCCTACGGCCAGCTGTTCCCTCGCCTTTCAACCTTTGGAGTTGGCATCTTTCAATTTAATTTTTTTTGGGGGGGGGGAACCCTTTTGCATAAAGCGAAGATTCATTCACTGGGGCTCGATTCAGCCGTTGAGATTTGGCTCTGGGCATCTTTGGCTTTTGGCAAAAAGGGAGACCCCCTCGGTGTCTGGAGGAGGGGGGGACGACAATTGTGCATTTGATAGACCCCAGCTGCCCATTGTTGCTTGTCTCCCAATCTTCTGCTTTAAAAGTTTGACCTACAATCGTGACGTCAGGACTATCTGGGGGCGTAGAAAATCACTCAGCCTTCTCAGATCTGCAAATAGGCAAGAAAAGGAGCTAAGCACATGCACACATCCCTTTGAATTAGCATTCACACACACACAAATATATACCCCTCCATAAACAAACATATAAAATACCTGACAATCTAAATTTAAGGTATGTTGTGTGTGTGTAAACTTGATATTTTGTCTAAAATATGTTTGCGTGCATCTATAAAATCTCATCATTTTGAATTTCAGTGTGTGTGTATTGTGCATAAATGAGACATTCTTTAGTTTTTTTACCTATTACATCTAAATATATAAAATATGTGTGAGAATGTGGTTGTATATAAAACTGGACTTGGTCTACCTTTCACCTGAAATACAATTTATATGCATGTGTGTGCATATATAGGCATCTATAAAACTTGATGTGGTCTAATGCAATTGTTCTCAAGCTGACCAGCTCCCCAAACTCCTTTCATGAAGGGTTTCATGAAGTAAAAAAAAAAAAATTTAAATGTCTCGGCAAAACCTTATAAATTGAACTTATGTTTATTTATAAATATAGGGTCTTTGGGGATCCTCCATCATTTTTAAGAATGTAAAGAGGTCCTGAGACCA